GTATAAAGCAGATAAAAAGAAAAAGAGGGGTTGCTATTGGTTCATATAATGTGAAAACCATCAACCATTAACATGCTTGTTGTGTTTCAGAGATTGCTTGAATATGAAAAACTTCCATTTTAGATTTAAAAATTAAAGACGAGGGGTGCTCTACATTGTTGAGTTAATGTATTTTGACACCAATTTAACTGCTGTAGCTCAATGTCACATAATCCTGGGAGTTGCAGTTTGATGAGGCATCAACACTCCTTGGCAGGGAAGGCTAAAGAATTTATGAAACTACAATTCCCATGACTCAATAGCACTGATGCAGGGTGGTTAAAGTGGGATCAAAATGCATTAATTTTACAGTGTAGATGTACCCTAGCTTCTCTAGACACTCTCATACTTGCCAACGCATGTGGACAAGCACCATCACACTGTGGTCAAGGCTAGGAGAGACTGTTGCAATTTGGTTTTGACAGCCTTACAGAGAAGAACATGGTTTTATATCCTCTCTTCCTTGCTTAACACTGACAGATTTGGATTGCATGCATTTAAATGTCTCCTCCTGCATAAAATGTGGCTTAAAAAGAAGAGAGATGCTGTAGTTCAGTGTTCATGGAAAAGGTCTCCAATTTAGTGCCTTGCATCTCAGTAGCTAAGAGACACTGTCCATCTTTATAGACAATACTGAACCAAAGGGACCATCAGTTAGCTTCCTCTATTCGTAACAGAAAATATTTTGGGAAGCAAATTGTGTTATCTCTAGAGACACACCTGTTGTAATAGGCTCTTTGAATAACACTAAAATAGGTACAATACTTTACCAAAGTAGTATAGACAGTTTTTTGTGTGAAATTCAGGAGACCGGTGGAACAGGAAGAATTTGCTATCACCATCTTGCACATGGAGCCAAAGTGTTTCTTGTCATATCCGAACAGTAGATATTCATTTTATGGATGCACATGGCAAATTCTTTATTTGCTTAAATATTTTCAACATTCTAGAATGGAAGTCGTACTACGCATGAACTGCCTATACCATATTTATATAAAGAGAGAGAAAGGGAGATAATAAACAGATCATTTGCGGGAATTATTTATATATTAAGTTTCTGACTTTACATGGAATGTTCCTCTAGCTAAGTAATGTTTTATATTTCCTTCTTCCTTACTCAATTTTGCCTTTTTGTATATTCAGTGGGAGGCATACATGGGGAACAGTAGGCAGACTTCTCTTCCAAAATCAAAGCTAGTCAGAGCTGGCTCTTTGCCACCAGTGGACACAAAGCTACACATAGAATGTACATGTGGATCTGGAGACTCTACAGAAATTGAATGTTTGTAACATATTCAGACCATGCAGCAAAATACAATAAAATCCAAAATCCACAGAAACAGGACATCTTTAGTTGAACAACTTTTTAAAAACTACAAAATATATAATGCAAGCATTTGAAACTTTACTGGCTTCTTCAACAGGCAAAGATGTTAAAATCATGCTGGAGAAGAATGTGATGTTGGAGTTGCAGGCCTACATTTTATTTCAGGTATTATTTCTGTTGTCAGGTGAGATGATCTGGAGGGATCTCAACGAAGAGAGAAGCAACTCCCCTTATTGGACATGTGGAGACTAAGGACAAAAGACAGCAAAACACAGGCAAAACAATTTCAAATAATTATCAACAGCAAAGTAACATGCATGGCTAAGTATCTATTTCTTAGTCAGAGAACCCTGAATTTCTCAATTCTCTGTATTCTTACATTTGGGGAAACATTTAGGTGCTGTAAAACTTGCCAACTGAGGTGCAAATGAAAGTGTTTTAACTTTGTTGGAATTCTTAAAGTTTTGGTAAGAAGAGTCAATGCTTTCATGTATTAATACTAACAAAGCAGCCATTTGAAAGGTGTGTCTGTATAATCTTTCAGAACTCTTATAACTTATAAGTAGGATTTCAATTTGTATCTTTCTGGAACCTACTAAATATTGTGAAATAGGAGCCGTAGCGTTATGTGCCAGAACACGAATACCTCTGTCTTTAAACACCACACCAGTGTAGTAAAATCATCAAGCAGTTTATTCAAGGATATACGTGAACAAAGCAATAAAAATGATAAAAACAGTATAGTTCAAAACAATCTTATTCCAAGATAAAAGTCAATCCATAATCTTCCAGGTGACAAGGTAAAAACACAAGGTCCAAGGTACAGAATCCATAGAAAAGGGTAGCATGAAAATCCAATGAACTGAACAAGAACTTGGCAAAACTCGAAACATGAAACTAGAAATACATTTGAAGAAACAAGACTATCATAAAGTATCAAAATTGATGAAATTGAAGTGAAACTTTCCCTGGTGTCAATATAAAGCCTTTCTTGGCCCCTGAAACAAAGGGGAAAGCATTTTGCTTGCTCTTGCAACCAAATAAGGCTTTCTTATCTCTCTTCTCCTGGAGAGGAATCGACCTCCTTGAAGCCTGAGAACTATGCCCCTGTTAACAAAAGTCTAATTCATCCTCTTTAAATTCTGTACCTGACAAATCATCCTCAGAGAAAGGCTGTGGCCTGTTCCCAGAATTTGACCTTGTGGATCTGCAGGAGAATCACTCTGTTCATCAGACAGCTCAGGCCTCTCTCCTGAGCCTAACTCAGGCCCAGCAGAACCCTCATCGCCAACAGACAGAGGCCCAGAAAAACCCTCATACCCATTGACATCAGACACAATCACAGGCTGAACTACAACACATAGTTACTGTGGATTCATAGTTACTAGAGTTAATAGTTACATAATTAACTAGGGACATAGTAGATTTACACAATTAATAGGATTCATCTAAAGAAGTGGATTGCTGCCCACAATGGTTTGTGCTGAAATAAACCCATTTGTCTCAAAATACTGCTAGATCTGTCCTCTGCTCCTTTTTTCTTTCCCTTTCTCACACTGAAGCAGATTAATATGTCTGCTTCTTTAGAGAAAAAACTAAATATTTGGGAGTGGCAGCTCTAGGGTTGAGTGAATTAGTTCTATATTTTACATTGAAATGAAGCTATCCAAGGTGCTGAAATCTACCTTTCAAATTAGATCAGCACTTAAAAAATCTCCCTAATGTGGAATCTACCACCAATTATTGCTTTGTGGTGTCTTAGACCTTTGTGTAGGATAACATACACACGAGTAACACCTGCATATTATTTCCACCTGGATTTTGAAAAAAAAAAGTCAGCAAAAAAAATCTTGTATCTTTCCCCTCCATGTGTGTAGAAAAAAAAATAGTGAGAATTTTTTTCACAAAAAGGAAAACTGTTAGGAACACCTCCTATCATTCTGCAAGATATTGCAGCTTCTGTAATGCAGTAATGCACCAGTAAAGGTTTTAAAAGGTGCCTCAACATTTACATGCAATTTGACTTTAGTAGAAACATCTCTTCTGTCATTAGTAAAGCGAATAGTCTTTCCTCCCTCGTGCCAAGCATACATAAAAGTGCCATTTACATCTCTGTTTAGGATCATTTCAACTATGTATTTGGCAGTATCAGCCCCTTGGTAAGTGCAGCTCAAACTGACCAGCTTTACTATGACCATAAGTCATTTTAAAGTAGTAGCGCATGGGGAAAAAAAAGAGGCTTGGACAAGGCATTTATAAAGATGACTTAAAACCTGTCCTTTCTTTGTACCTGTATGCAGGAAATATATGTGGTAATTATGTGAAGCTATTGGGCAATGAAGACAAAACCATTTCTGAGTACCAAACCAACAGCATTCTGGCACATATTTCAGAACTTTAAAATATATTTTATGTATCCAGACTTTTCCTACCTCATTTACATACATTTATGGTCATTCTGAAACTGTGCATGCTGGAACAGTATTTGTAACTTGCAGCATTTATATTTTTTTCTTCCCATTAAGATTCTTTCTAATGATCAAATAAACTAGTTGTGCAATTACCTTCTCATTGATGGTGCACTGTATACAGGGAAAGGATATTTTCTAAAATGTTTAAGTTTGATTTCTTGATATCAATAAGTGTCTCAATCCAGGCCTTGAGGTGCTGGATCCTCTCTTCCATTAAAGTGAGCTGTTTGCATTTGCTGCAGATGTAGCTCACTAGATGTTTTGTCAAGAAGATGAACATCCCACAGCCACTGCATGTGGCTGGGAGGGCTTGCCCCTGCTCCATATCCAGGGGACTCAGGTTACCAAACAAGAACTATTTACTGAACTGTGGTCCTCCTTCTCAAAATACCTCAGTTCTATTACTCACTATATTTTCCCAAGCTCAGTGTTGGGTAAGTTGAGACAATGGATACCTCGAGCTAAGATGGCTTCTTGTTTCCTTCTTCATTGGTCACTGTAGCTCAACTGCTGGCTCTGCTCCCAGAAAGGACAAATGATCTAGCTGAAGCTCCAGTCCTTGAACACACAGCAGAAGCTCCACCTCTCAAGCACAGAGCCAAAGCTCCACCGTCCCTTAAGTACAAAGTCAGATACACAGCCTTAAACACAAGGCCTCAAGCAGAGGAATCAGTTCCTTAGACACCAGAACATCCCCAAAGCCTTAACAACACACTTACCACCATATAAACAAATCCCCAACCTCTAAACAACAAGAAATAAACAAACACTCAACTTTCTACTACACTCTAAGAAACAAGGCATTGTCTCAAGCTAAGATGGCTTCCTGCTTCCTTCTTCTTCGGCCGCTGGAGCTCAGCTGTTGTCTCCACCCCCAGACAGGACAGATGACCTTGCTGAAGCTTCACCCCTTGAAAACATGGCAGAAGAAAGCCTCCCAAGGCAGTTCACAGAATAAAATCATAAAATAAAACATAGTTAATTCAAACAGTATTTAAGATAACCACAAGAATGTACCATTTAGCAGAGTATGAAGGATTTTAAAAGAACACTGAAAGGCAGTCTGGAATAACTAGGACCTTTTTTGCTCCAGCCAGCTTTTAAAAGTTTGATGTATTACTGTAAACTAAACTGTTTCTAATTGCTTTTATCTTTTTATGTAGATGTTTACATTATTTTGCCGACCAAGGGCAAGATGGATGGATGGCATCCTTGAAGTGACTGGACTGACCTTGAAGGAGCTGGGGGTGGTGACGGCTGACAGGGAGCTCTGGCATGGACTGGTCCATGAGGTCACGAAGAGTCGGAGACGACTGAACGAATGAACAACAACTTACATTATTTTAATATTGTAAGTATTACTTACTTTTTATGTGCTTTTAACTTCATTCATTGTTCCTGTTTTAAATTATAAGCTGCCTTGAGTCCCAAGAATTCTTGGGAAGCTGCTGATAGTTGAAAGAAAGAGGTGCGTGGTGTCTTGTTGCTGCTCACAGCAAACACAATGGAAAGGTAGCTGGATGTTATTTCTCTTTATGTATCCATAAAGAATATCTGTACGGATGTGTAGTCATCCTTTTAAATGCCAGACTGGCCACATGTACTGTCTAGACTAGAAATGGACAAGCTGACAGGTTCAAGGGATAAAGCAGTACTGAACAAAATATCCTCAGAGGGCAAGGTTGCAGAAGTCGCTGGAAGAGCTGGAGATACAGTTATAGTGTGAACACAAGACGTGTTACCTCTTTGCCTCCCATTAAAAACATAAAGTTGGAAGAGACCACAAGGCCCATCCTGTCCAACTCACTGCCATGCAGAAATACATAATCAAAGTATGGTCATATTGCTAATTCCCAAACATATTACTGTGTGATATTCTGTCTTCCATCTCTTCTTTACAGTTCATATCTTTCTAAAATCCCTTCTGGATTTTATCTCTTTCGGGAATGTTGTTATTCTTTGTTTTTTTAAAAGATGGAGAACATAGTAACACAATCTGTGAGTAGATAATTAACAACTTTTGCATATATACATTCTATATATTAAAGTATTCCTGTATTATCAATTCATCTTCTTTACAAAACTAATTATTCTCATTCCATTTTTATCCCTCCCTCCTCTACCTTCTCCACCACATTTTCCTCTATGTCTTTATCCTTAACCATGAACACTTTTTAAAAAAAATCTTTGTACAATATCTATATCGGCTTCACAATCTTCTATCCATTTCATATAAAAATCTCCCATTTCTCATTAATTTCTTCTGTTTTTATCCTCGTGTGTACCTGCCCAAGCTACACATAGTATAATGTCCAATTGTATTTGCTCAAATAAACAGTTATTCCAGTTTCACAAATTCCATTTTTTTCATCTCTCCATCCCCAGGCTATTATTGCCTTTCCTGCTATAATAATAATAATAATAATAATAATAATAATAATAATAATAATAATAATAAATAAAACTTTATTTATATACCGCTCCATCTCCCCGAGGGGACTCAGAAAACATACAGAGTAAAAACAACATAACCATAAGATTAACAAACAAAATATAAGCATAAAAATTGTCACCATAACACACATATATTAAAAGCAATCCTGCCTGTTCAAGGCAATAAAAAATTTAAAAGGCTGGGCCAAGATTTGTACAAGCCCAAAAATTTTAGGGGACCCGGGAATTAAGTGAAATGCTATGGCAGGCAACAATAATATTAGATACAGGTCTGTGGCTGTTCATTCCAGGGCCGATTAGAGGAAAGAATCTGGGTAACTGATAGGAAGAATAAGGCCGTATTAGACAATGTGTGGGGCTGAGTTAGAACTGGTCATTTTCAAAGGCTTGTTGAAACCACCAGGTCTTCATGCTCTTACGAAAGGAGGGGAGGGATGGGGCCTGTCTTATTTCCCTTGGAAGGGCATTCCAGAGACGGGGGGGGGGGACATCACTGAGAAGGCTCTCTCTCTCATCCCCACCAACCGTGCTAGTGGGACTGAGAGGAGGGCCTCCCCAGAAGATCCTGCCTGTTCATAGAAGGAGATGCAATTGTGGGGATAGGTGGGGCCCGGGCCGTTTAGGGCTTTATAGGTCATGACCTGCTCCTTGAATTTGGCTCGGCAACTTATCGGCAGACATTGAAGCTGTTTTAATAGGGGTGTTGTATTCTTCGAGCACAGGTTGCCACCCAATACCCCAGACAGCCCCACGACTGACCAAGAGGACCTCTGTCTTGTCTGGATTAAGCTTCAACCTGTTAGCCCTCATCCAGTCCATCACAGCCATCAGACACTGGTTCAGGGTCTGGGAGGCTTCCTTGGAATTCGGTGGAAATGAGTAGTAGAGTTGGGTGTCATCTGCGTACAGATGGCACCAAATCCAAAACTCCGGATAACCTCACCCAGTGGTTTCATGTAGATATTGAAAAGCATGGGGAATAGAATGGAACCTTGCGGGACCCCACAGGTCAAAGGCCACGGGTCCGAGCAGGTATCCCCCAGCTTCATCAACTGGGAGTGACCCTCCAGGAAGGAGCGGAGACACTGCAGTGCAATGCCCCCAAGACCCATTTCGGAGAGCCGGCCCAGAAGGATACCATGGTCGATGATATCGAAAGCCGCTGAGATATCCAGGAGAACCAACAGGGACACACTCGCCCTGTCAAGCTCTCTTCGGAGGTCATCCACCAAGGCGACCAAAGCTGTCTCAGTACCATGGCCAGGTTTAAAACCAGACTGTGATGGATCTAAATAGTCGGTGTCATCCAGGAATCCCTGGAGTTGGGAGGCAACCACCTGCTTTAGAAACTTGCCCAAGAAAGGGAGGTTAGAAATTGGCAGGTAGTTATTTAGGACTGAGGAATCTAGGGATGCCTTTCTGAGTAAAGTTTTCACAATTGCACTATTCAGGCTAGATGGAATATGTCCCTGTTCCAATGAGGCATTTATAATCTTTAAGATCCACTCGGCCAACCCCCCACTGGCAAGTTTGATTAGCCAGGAAGGGCAAGGGTCCAGGGCACAAGTGGTTGCTCTCACCTCTCCAAGAATCCTGTCCACGTCATCAGGCTGAACAGGTTGAAGTGAATTCATCAAAACCGGACAGACAGGTACCTTGGTTACATCCATGGACACTGCATCAAAACCGGTGTCTAATTTGGAACGCAGTTGAGTGACTTTATCTGCATAATGATGTGCGAACTCACTAGAAGCATTGCTTTGAATAAATCTTGATTCTTTCCACCCATGTTTTTTGTTTCCTATTATTCCCATTAACATACATTCCATGTTTACCTGGATTGGCATTTTAAGTAATTTCTCCATGTGTTATTATCTTATCCCAAAAAGTTGTTACATTTAGACATTCCCACCACATATGTGCATACCAACCTTTTTCTACTTTACAATGCTAACATATTGGGCTTGGTCCTGTTCTCATATTTGTTAGCTGGGCTGGTTTCTTATACCATTTCCATATACATTTTCTTTCTAACTCTATGTATTTTTCCAATTTCATTTTCTTAATCCCCTTCTTTATTTTTCTCTATAGTTTTTTTTAGGGCTCTTCCTTCTGTCATGTATTTTGTAGTGTTCTTACTATATATTCATCATCTTTTATCATCATTTGTATATTTCTCCTACTAATCCTTCCTTTACTTTCTGTCCTTTTGTTAGTCTACTTTTCAATTTACTATTTTGGTCTAAACATTCCCCGTATTTCCCCTGTTTAAGTTTATTGTATAAGCCTAATACTTTTATCCAATTTTAGTGCTAATTTTCTGGAGTCTCTCATTTTTTAAATTCTTGCCTCTAGGTTACTTGTAAATACCCCAAATTTTCCGTCTCTCCTGTTTACTGTATTTTCTATTCTAGACAATTTTTCTTTTTCTCCTAACCTACTTTCTAGTAGCAGTTTTAATTGAAATGCTTCATAATATAATTCCAGGTTTGGTATCCCCCGTTCTAATTTTTCTTCGTGTGTATAGTATACTTTATTTGAGATTCTAGATTCATTCTCACTCGAGACCCACTCTCTAATGGTCCTGTTCCAGGTTTTAATTTGTCTTTGAGTGATTTGTAATGGGAGGACCTGGAATAAGTACATTAGTTTTGGGATTAAAAACATTTAGTAGGTTTTATTTTACTGAAAATACTTAGATTCTTTTCCTGTGTTCTTTCATGATCTTAAGGACATTCTTCCATGCCTCTTTATAATTACTTTTCATAATCTTTTCTGTGTTTTTTTTGTATTATCGCTCCCAAGTATTTTTTTACCCATACCGATTCCTGTTATTTTATCTATTTCTATTTTTAATCAGTTTACTTCAAAATACATACCTTCTGATTTCTTTATGTTTACCCCCAATCCCATATTTCTTTCATAACTCCACAGTATGATCTTTCATTCTCTTATTCCTTCTAAAGAGTTAGCTAATATCACCAAGAGGTCATCGGCAAAAAGATTGAGTTTAATCTCTTTCTGACCAAATTTACATCCCTGTATCCTTACACTATATCTTATTCTATCTGCTAATACTTCTATACCTAACACAAAGAGAAATTGTGAAAGAGGACACCCTTGTCTTACTCCTCTTTGGACTGGAAATTTCCCTGATGTTCCTTCATTTTTTCTTATTATGGCTGTTCTTTTTCTGTACAACTCCACAGTTACATTTATATATAAATCTCCTACTCAGAATTTCTTCATAACCTCCCATAGTAACTCATGGTTTATTGAGCCAAATGCCTTATGCAGATCTAATCTGAGGAAAGCTAAATTATTTCTTTGTTTATGTTCCATTACATTCAGTATATTTCTAATTGGATGCATATATATCTACCTTTAAGAAATCCATATTGATCTGTTTTTATTAATTTGGGTAGCATCTTTTCTAATCTATTGGCTAAAAGTTTTCACAAATATTTTATAGTCCTGATTTAATAGTCTAATTGGCCTATAAGATCCTGTTTTCTTTGGTCTTTCTATGGTTTCAAGATAACTATGATTACTACTTTCCTCTATGTATCAGGTGCTTTTCCTCCTTCTAATATATTTTTGAATAAAATATGCAACTCAGGGCTCAGTATTTTTTTAATTCCTTGTAGAATTCCCCTGTATATCCATCTATTCCTGGATATTTGGCTGAGTAATTTTTTATTACTTCCTTTATTTCTTCAATTAAAATCTCAGAGTTTAATAATTATTTCTCTTCCTCTCCTAATAATATAATAATAATAATAATAATAATAATAATAATAATAATAATAATAATAACAACAACAGCTTTATTTGTATCTCTCCAGGGGGACTCAGGGTAGATTCTAACAACATAAGGCAAACTTTCAATGCCTATAC